ACTGACACAGCTATTGCATAACCAAGAGAGGAAGACTAAGAGAAGCTCCTCAATCTTGGACATGACATCCCTGACCTTCCAACCACTAGCAGCATCGCCTGCTCTGACCTACTCTCTATGTGAAAAAAATAAACTTCTGTGACAGATGTTACCAAATGTTCTCAGTTCATGGCATTCTTAATGTCTGTGATTTTCTTCATGATGCCCCTAAGTCAAAAGGAACACCTAACACCTATTTATTAAGTAGTTAGTCAACAACTTAATAGTAGTAGGTCTAGTAATAATTAATGTCGTTTTCTAATACTTTTTTTTAAATCGAATTTATTTAAACAATACAACAAAATTTAATCAACAATATAGTTTCCGTTGTTTTCTACTACTTGTGCCCAACGCTCAGGAAGCATTTTAATCCCTCTGTTGTAAAATTCTTGTGATTTTGATGCAAAAAATTCAACCAATGCATTTTTGAGGCATTCTTCATTATTAAATTTTTTTCCAAGAAGAAAGTTTTGCAAAGAACGAAACAAATGGTAATCGGAAGGGGCAATATCAGGAGAATATGCAGGTTGAGGGAGAACTTCCCATTCCAACTGGCGCAGTTTTTCAGCAGTGATTCTTGCAGTATGTGGTCGTGCGTTATCGTGGTGAAGAATTACACCCTTCCGATTAATCAGCGCGGGTTCTTTTTCTCTTAAAGCTTGGGCTAACCTTTCCAATTGGGCACTATACACTGCACTTGTAATGGTTTGGTTAGATGGTGAAAGTTCATAATGAAAAATTCCTTTAAAATTCCACCAAACACACAACATCACTTTTTTCGCATGCAAGTCAGGTTTTGGCGTGGGCTGCAGAGCCTCATTTTTGTCCAACCATTGAGGCCACCTTTTCAAATTAACATACAGCACCCATTCTTCATCTCCGGTAACAATTTGCTCTAAAAACGGCAAACGGTTTTGACGAGAGAGGAGCGAACTGCAAATTGTGACTCTTTGATTACGGTTGTTGTCGGTCAACTCATGAGGAACCCATTTTCCAAACTTTTGGACTTTGCCAAGTGCACGCAATTGATTGGAAATTGTTTTTTGTGAACAATTTAAAGTTGTCACAAGCTCTTGTTGGGTAATTTGAGGATTTTGCACCAACAGAGCTTGAAGAGCTTCTTGATCAAAATTGGACACACGGCCTCGACCACTCTTGTCATCTAACAAAAAATTTCCCTCGCAAAATTTCTCAAACCAACGCTGGCATTTTCTGGCGCTAACTGCATCTTGACCAAGAGCACTACAGATGTTTTTTGCAGCCTCACTTGCTTTTCTTCCTAATTGGAACTCGTAAAGCATGCAGTGCCAAATATGCTCTTCATCCGCCATCTTCTTAGCCCTAGTTTTGCAACAAAAACCAAACTAAACACAAACTTTTTCAAGCAAAACTTGTTAATTGCACTTCACATGTTATGTAGATACCACGTGTTTGAAGGTTATGTCAATACAAGTCAACGCCAAGCAAGATTTTAAATGAATGTTTAAAAACGACATTAATCATTACTAGACCCGATATTTATGTGTTAACAACTTGTTAACTCTTTGGAAAAAATTCTACACATAAATTTTTAAAAAAAGTATTTTTATTTCATTGTTCACCACAATTATAATGAGATGTGTTCCAATTGTACCCCCTACTACTTCCACAGCCTGGGAATCAGATTGGATTCCACCACCTTCATCTCCTATTCCAAGTTGTCCTTCCTAATAAGAGCGGGCCTCATCCAAACAGTTGAAGGGCTGAATAGAACAAAAGCTTGACCCTACACCAAGTATGAGAGAATTCTTTCCTGAATAACTAGCTGTGAACTGGAGCGTTGGCTTTTTCCTGCCTTTGGGTTGAAATTGAAGCATCAGGTCTTCCTGGGTCTCAAGTCTGCTGGCCTTCTGGAGGGAACTACATCAATACTTCTAGTTCTAGCCCTTTAGAGTTGGACTAAAACTAAACCATCAGCTCTCCTGAGCCTCCAGCTGGCTGACTCATCCTGCAGATCTTAGGACCAGTCATCCTCTATAATCACATGGGCAAGTATATTTTATTAAATAAATCACGCATGTATATCTTTTTATATGTCATTTTAGATGGCTAGATAGATAATACATATACTGTATTTCAGACATATACATCCTATTGGTTCTGATCCTCTAGAGAACCCTGACTAATACACCCCACAAAATAACAGGTTATTTGGTACTTATTCCTCTGGGTCATGGCATTGTTAATAACCCATGAAAAAACAACAACAAAGCCAGGGAGAAATGTTAACCTCAAGCTTATTACCTTACTCCCAAGGTTAAAACCCTTCCACAGCTCATTAGTGTCCTCAAGACACATCTAACCTCATTGGTGAATCAACCATGACCCATCATCTGGATTCTTCTTATTTTTTTCCAGCCTTATCTCTTACTATAGCCTTTGTCCCCTCCAATATGGATCCAAATGCAAGTCCATAAAATGCACGTGATCTCTCCCCTCCAAGTTTTGAGTATGCTTTTCTCCCTACCCAGAATAACTTCCAGACAGCCCTCTCACATGCACATGCACACACACATACTCACAGTCATAGGACATACACATTGCAAGACCAGCTCTTTATTCTTTAAGTGTCTGACTAGATATTCTACTCTCCTCTCAGATCCACTTATCAATAACTAGCTGAGAACCTTTCCAAATGTTATCATATAATCCTGAGTGTATCCCTGTCAGACCCCTAAGTGTGCTTTAACTGTCCATTCATTTGTCTAAATTCAACTCCTTGAAGGCCATAACTACATTTTACTGGTTATTGTATCCCCCAAACAGTGGCTCACCCATAATATATGCTCAATAATTATTTGTTGACAATGGAAAGATATGTACACATATAATACCTTAATAATAAAAAAATAAAAAAATAAAAATAATTTGTTGAGTAAATGATTAGATAAAGTTTAAATAGTCCCAGATCACCATTCTCATTCCGTCATTGGTTTAGTTTAGGAACTGTCAACCAAGATCTGAAAAGAGACATACATATTCAGCCACTCCTGGCAGCATCCACCTGCAAAGGTAGGGGGATAATAACATGGTTTTCCCTGACCCTTTATCCATGCCCACGCATGCCCCAATCATGAAGATCCAGAACAAGCACTATAAGCTTGGAAGCTGAGCAAGGAACCAGAAAATTGAAAAGAGAAGAATCTGAAAACTTGAAGCATTTTTAAAACACTGTTATTATAATCATTCTGGTCACCATCAATGTAATATTCCCAAATTCCTTACTGACTGGCAATGATCAAGTTACTTATTTTTTCTAGACTTTAGTTCCCTCATCAGTTGAGCATAAAACTCAAGGCTGTTATAAGGAAAAAACTTAAATGTATTGGCAAGCACTAACACAGTGCCTGACACAGATGATTTATAATATAATAAATGCAAGTTCTTAGTATTGCCACCTTTATTATTGCCAGTCAGAATTTCAAACGTAAGTACATATAAAAGCAAGCTACAGTTCATTAGTCAAGAATGAGCTGAAAGACTTTACTGAGCCTCAATCCCTAAAAATCCAAACACATGAGCTTGACATTGAAGAACTTCACTTGCCTCATCATGAACACAGCAACCTGACAATGGCAGAGCTATTTTGAATGCAGCCCCCGGGGAAAGTTTATCCTATACTTACACTTAACTCAGTATCTCTAAGAAATAAAACAACCAAACCTAAACCTAAATAGATTTAAAAAGAAGAAGAAGAGAAAAAAGCTACACATATATTTAGTGGTGTGTTTTTTTAACCTATCCATTTAAACCAACTTCTCCATACACAGAAATACATAGATACTAAAACAAGCAACCTTTTGATTACTTGCCTGATATAAATAATTATTCACCATTACTGGGTGAATTATGAGTTAACCTGGTGAATGGCTATTCACACACTGCTAGTAATTTTATTTGGAGGTATGAACATTTAAAACTAAATGATAAAAATACCAAACAAAATATATAATTGTGCTATTTTACATAACTAAGCTATATTTTACAAAGGGTGCATCCTCTTTCTTTACTATCCCAAACACACATATCATGTGCAATATAATCTCGTTAGGTAAATATCAATTTATGGAGACAGTGTGTCATTCAAATAATTTGCCAGTCTACTAGTACAATAATTACTCTTTAATTTAAAACATATGGTAATTAGGGAGCATTTGAGATCTTGCTTCCTGGAAATTGTCATCAGTTTTGGCTCAAGTAAACTCAGAAAAAATTTTAAAAATTAAATAGATAATATAAAATATATGGTAATTCAAACATTATTGAATTAAATAATTCTCTCAGAATTTCAAATTAACCAGGCTTCTAGTTCTCCACAAGCACAAAAAATACATCTTTTCATTATTTCCTCCTAGCTTCCTTCTCTCTTATTAATAGTTGTATTAGAAAAATTACAAGTTTTTCTCTTGAATAATTTTTTATCATTTTTATGTATTAACTCCTCATTTTATAAAATGTCTCCTTTTTTATATTTTTCCTTCCAAGCACCACCTTTCTACTAGCACCCAACTAGCACAGTGATAGTTCCAACCACCCTTGGCTCTCCTCCATGGCCTGCAGAATCTAGCCCTTGGGGAGCCAGGGTAGAGCTTTGTGCATCCAAAGAGTAGGATCTTGCTAAACTTTGCCCTTTCCCTTTCTCCACTGTCACCATCCCACCTCCCTGTTTCTGATCTTTCTATCTTGCCTTCCACTCTGTTTCACAGTTCTATGAGATTTCACATTTACTCCTGTGGCCTCCTAGTCCTCACACACATGTACATATACTCCTCTTCCCAAGCGAGTTACACATCATTATAAGACCATTAACTTTAGCCCTGACATTGAATCGTGTATTTTTCCAAAGGATCTTCTGGGTGAAGGGAGTAGGGGAAGAAAAAAGTACTTTCTACTTTTAAAAGATCCCAGAAAGACAATCCTACCTTTCCCAGGATTTGGAGGAAAAGGACTTCCAAACTCCTTCTGCTTTGGCATTAAAGTGTGTGGCCCTGACATGCCTCCGGCCTGGGTGACCTGGAATCGTGACTTCCCATTGGTGAGCACTTGTCTCCTGGGGCTCAAGGCGGGCAGATGGATGGGGCTCTCAGCCATGTTGTTCTGAGGAACCATCCCTCCTCCCAAGGGCATCTTGAGATGGAGACTGTTAGCAAGGCTTCCAATGCCGGGGCTTGGTGCGCTGCCACAGGACGAGGGGCCAGGAGTCCCCAAGTGGGCTCGGATGGGAGGAATGTGTTGGCCACTGACCATCCCAGGCCCCTGTGGGGTTCCTGATATCCGGTGGAGATTCATGCTGCATGACCTTCCATTCATTTTGAAAAAACCTGTGGCCAAGATGGTCAAGTATCCAATGGCACTAATGACTCCTTTCAGGCAAAGTCCAATAAGTTATCCATGGTGTGGGTTTTTAGCCTGTTTAAAAAAATAAATGCAGGCATTTTTAAAAGTAAAATGGAAAATAAGTTACAGTGAGTTTTCAATCTGTGTAGCTTTCACCTCAGGAAGAAAAGAAGCACTCTTAGCAAAAGGGCCTTTTATGTAGAGCAGGGTCATCAAATACATGATTCACTGGTGGGCACTTTCCCCTCCTGTGTTCATGGTAGTCATGGATTATGGATCACTGCATTGTTTTGTTTGCCACTGAGCCCTTCTCAATATAGTGCTCTTGGCAACTACAACCAACCTACAGATGCCAGCTTGCAAAATGAAACTTATTTTGCTCCCCCGGGGCTCTGTCTGTACCAGTTCACTTCTGCAACACTGAGTCTTGAAAAAGCCAAAGGCATCACCTTCCTGAGCTGTAAGAGCAATGCTTCAGAGGTTCCAGTAAACAAACTAATGGCAGATCCGGCCTCTAAATGAGATTATGAGGACATTAAATCATCTCTGATTTTCACTCATAAAGCAAGTATTTCATAGTCCCTAGATTCACAAAAGATAAAAATATGGCCTGGGACTCTCACAAAGGCCTCATACATCCACAAACCCAATATTCAGAGCAGCATTAGAATCGTGGTTCCATACTGATCCTGAGTTACAGAAATGGAAATAGGACAATACTCTCACCTTCCATTAAGATCCTAGAAAAGGAAAAGGCTGTGAAATATGCTTTATGGAAAGTATAAGGAAAGAACAGCCCTTTAAAAGGCACGTTTATCACGCACCAAACATGGTAAATCAACCATAGTTCCACGGAGCTTCCATGTGCAATCCCGCTACCCCCTTTCTCAAGTACCAGAGGAGAACCAAAGTACTGCATGACCACGGAACATCACCATCCATCTGTATGCAATAATGCCCGAGTTCCCTGATCATATTGTTAGAAAAAAATCCTTTTTCCTTGACCAATACCTCCCCAAAATATATGTACAATCAATGAGGTGACTAAGTACCACCACTCCTAATGAATGCAGTCTGTTTTCTTTTACATAGACATGACAGTCATTGAAAGAAGCCATAGTTGAACAAAATAATAAAATATAAACAGAGTATAATCAGTAGTGGCCAAATATCCCCAACTGAATTGTTTCAACTGTTTCTGAAGGAGCCACTCAATGTTATAGACAAATATTTCCAACTCAACTCCAAAATAAATGGCTCCATCAATCATCAAGGACAGAATATCAAGAAGGACAAATTTTTCATGAAAAGTTTTTTCTTTTATCATTTTAGAAAATCAAAAATATTTAATTTTCAAGTTAAACACTCACTGTGCCTTCTGAAAAGTTAACTATTTGTGTCGTATGTTAAATAACTTCAAAATTACTAATAATATAAAATTGGGAAAGTTCCCTTCATCTCTAGCAATTCTCTATTTTATTAAGAATTCTAACCTTGGCACATGTCACTCAGTGGTTAGAATGTCAGCCCATTCACCACAGGGTTACAGGTTCAGTTCCTGGTCAAGGACTTGTACCTGAGTTGCAGGTTCAATGCCCAGCCCTGGTCTGGTGAGGTGCAGGAGGCAATCAATTGATGTGTCTCTCTCTCACATCGATGTTTCTCTCCCCCACTCACATTCTCTCTAAAAAACAATGGAAAAGTATCCTTGGATGAGGATTAAAGAACAAAGAATTTTGTCAGTCTGTCACATTTAATGCTTCCATGCCATGTAGTCCTCAGAGATACTTCTAGGTATTTTTCCTGCCTTTCCCTTCACTACAGTTTTGAGAATGGGCAAATACAGTATATCCAGGCTTATCCAAACCTGTATTGTTTAAATTCGTTATGGATAATAAGAAATGAATCCTGTAATCAGATCAGTTGTAAGATTTTTTTTTTTTTACATTGGAAAAAGTCCAATGCCTTTTTTGCTATATCCATTTATAAGAATTCAAATGTATTACCAGATAGTCTATTGATTTATTGGTAACTTGTGGGAAAGAATCATTTTAGCCAAGACCAGTTTGGCTCAATGGATAGAGCGTCGGCTTGGGGACTGAAAGGTCCCAGGTTCGACTCTGGTCAAGGGCATGTACCTTGGTTGCAGGCATATCCCCAGTAGGGGGTGTGCAAGAGGCAGCTGATCGATGTCTATCTCTCATCGATGTTTCTAACTCTCTATCTCTCTCCCTTCCTCTCTGTACAAAATCAATAAAATATATTTCTTAAAAAAGAATCATTTTATATCTCTATACTTCACCAGATTATAGTAGCCATCTATTCTCCACTCATTGATAAAAACTGTTTTCCAAGCATTCTGAATCCTGCATAAGAAAGCACTTATTCAGTACCAACACACACAAAAAAGGCAAGATAAGTATGTTGCATTCGCAGTTTGTTAAAAAATTATGTATTATCCAACATGACTGGAAATATGAATCACCAAGACTGTGGTCCAAGTGACAAATGTCTGCAGATTTGCAGACTATGCCCATTTCCAAGTTTTTAAAAATAAGAGAGTAATTTTTGGCAGAAAGATCACACACAAGTAGAAATTATCATAAAAAAATATGGATAAAGCACATAAGTAGGTACTTGGCATTAGACTTGATCATTAGTAAAGTTAAGTTTGTGAAAAGCAAGAAAAATTAACACACTGAAAACTTAATTATCAGACATTCTTTCCTGCCTATCAAACTGGATATTTATTTTATTATTTTATAAACTATACTCCTGTTTTAAATAGCTTTAGGTTAAAAGTAAAAACAACAAAATTACTTAAATTTTGTAACTAAAAAAGCAACAGCCTCAAAGTAATGTGATTAATACCATAAAGGAAAACCAAGAGGCCAATGGCATGTGAGCTGGAAAAAAAAGTCTCAAGATAAAAATATTAAATTTAAAAATCAATTTGGTCTATTCATATTCTAATATTTCATATATTTTTTAGCTAGGCCATATGATCATGTGGCCTAGCTAAAAAACAACTCTAAGTTTCACGTGGCAACAACAACAACAAAAAAGAATTAACTGCTAACTTTTAAGAAAGATACATCCTCATTCAGTCAGAGTGAAAAGAGCATTCAACCAGAAGTCTGGTCACCTGAGTTCTACTTCTAGCAAATCATTTATAACTTCCCTGGACTTACAGTTTTCATCCATAAAATGAGGAAGTTGATGATAATCATTACAGTCTCTAGAAATTCTGTTTTCCCAGATAATTAAGATAAGGAAGATTATTAAAAATATCCATTTAATAAATATGTAGAAGTAAATATGTAGATTTTATACTCATGGCACTTAAACTGGGAGACATGGAAGCAAAAATAGTACCTACTATTCACAAAAGAGCTCATAGGTGGCTCTCATGCCATCAATGTGCTGAAAGACAACACTTACCATAAAAAGATGGATATTAGGATTAAGTTTTCCTACACCTTGCCAACTAATAAGTACCAAAACCTAACTGGTAGGAAAATTCCATTAGAAGAGTACCTTTCTATTTAAAAACTTAACAAGTTCTCCAGCATTACTTTCCCGCTGTCCTCCATCCAACTACACTACCCCAGGGTATCAACAGAAAAAGAGAAGAAAAAGAAAAAAAGCAAGGAACATCCAGAAGTACAAATTTAATGTACTGAAAATTGGACATATTGATACATTTAGATGTTTAATACTCCATTGGTTCAAATAATAAAAATATTCATTGGGCTACAGGAGTCAACATGAGTTAATGGATCTTCACTTTTGACCACTGTCAAACTCAAAAACACTACTGTAGGTCAAGTCAGAGAAAAAAAGTACTTTGCTTCTACAGAAAATAAGACACAAAACCATTTAATAATTTCTCTAGTTTTCTGGGAAACCTGTGACTTGAATCAAATCACAAAAGTCATTTCTCTATCTTCTAAAACCAAGGCTTAGGCACTTTCTCGTGGATTAAAAGATTAAACAAACAAAAAACAATGTTAACTCATCCATTTAAGAAAATTCCCAAAACATAAGCTCTATAATGCCTATGTACAGCCAAAAGCTCTTTCTTAGTAAATATCATTAATAAACTCATCTAGAGTCATAATTCAACTGATGAGCCAGTTAATAATTAATTTTCATACATCATTTCATTTCCTTAGGCTACATTTAGCCTTTGTTACATTTTCCATTCCTTATGCTACAAGCATTTCTTACCCTGCATAGAAAACCTGATATTGAGGCACAAAATACTGGTAAGCACACAAATTGCTCCTGCGCTGGTTTCTTACACATATGTCTAAACCACCTAAAGTAGAATTTTTATTGATTCTTTTTATTTTTTTCCTTTGGGTTAATGATTGTATAATTTCATTAACACTGCCTTTTCAACATCACTGCCTTGATCATTAATAGGCCCATGTTATTCCCATGGGCTTCTCTAGTTACAGCTTTTGTAGCCAGAAGAATATAGAAATGAAAAGCCTATTGATAGATAATATAAGTTATTCTCATGCACGGCCGCCATGTGAAGCACATTTTGCAATTCAATCAAGGACAGATAGAGCTGAATGTTCTTAGATCCCAGGAGTTCATTTTAATAAGCAGAATGTACCTTGTCCTAACACAGGTGACTGACTCCTCAGAAAAGATTGTATAAACAAAAGCCAATCGTGTTAGTCATTTTATTGGCAACAATATAAACACAACTATATTAGATGTCACCAATAAATCAAAATTATTCTTGTCTGCAATTTTAACAAGAGGAAAGTGCAAACATGGGCCTGTGAAGCTGGAGGATATTATAGAGGAAATGCATTGGATAGGTACAATATATTTTCTGTTATTGAAAAAGAGGGTACTATATTATGATTAACCCATAACAAAGTATAGTTGATCATTTCTGTGGTTTCATAACTTTCTTCAGTGAAACTGACAGATTCACAGATTTTAGAACTTACACAGAAACAAGGCTGGGATAATTCCACATTATTGAGCAAAAATTTAGGGAGGTTATACCTGGTTATAGCCAGTCTAGTACATATAGACCATATAGACAT